TCTATTTATTTTTTTCCTATTTTATTGATTCCTGCCCTTGTGTTTGTTATTAAATCTCGTCCAGTTATCTACTACTGGAGGACAAACTACTCAACGCTTACTGGATTAAAACAGTAATTTATTATTGTCTCTCAGGGTTCTGTGGGTTCACTGAGCATTGCCCCCTGAGGCTTTGTCTTCCTAAAACATGAGACTGGTTCTTTGGATACACTGTCCAAAGAGTAAGCATTCCAAGAGACTCAGATGAAAGCTTTAAAGTTTCTTATGGCCTAGCCTTGATTTAAAACATCACTTCTGCCTCATGCTGTTGGTGAAACAAAGCCCAGGTTTAAGGGCAAGGGAGTAGGACTTCACATCTTAATGTGAAGAGCAGCATTTGCCTATGGGAACGGGAGGAATAGATGATAGCCATCTTGTAAGCTGTCACTATAATTTCTTTCTTGATGTTTCACATTTTTTCTGTTGCTTTTTTTCTCCTTTCTTTTTTTTAACTTATTGAGGTAAATACTTGGCTTTTGTTAAATTTTACTTGTTTCTGGATTACTATATTTAAAACTAGGAATCTCACTCTAAGTGTCAGTATAGATGTTTTTCACAAACACTGATATATATGGTATTTTCATTATTATACAAGAAAATATTTCCTTAATCTTGGTTTTCATTTACTTTCTAACTCATGTATTATTTTAGTTATGTTATTTAGTTTCCAAACAAATGGCATTTTTAGCTCTCCCTTTGTTATTCATTTCTAACTTTACCACATTATGGCTCACAAACATAGTCTGTATGATGCTAAACCTCTGAAATTTAAGTTTATTTTGTGGCCTAACATATGGTGTATTTCCTGAAGTGTTTTATTTCTCTACAGTGACTTTTTGCGGTATAAAATTCTACATATCCAAGAGCTTAAAGTTATTAATTGTGTTGTTCAGATCTACAATGATTCTGCTTATATTTTGCCTGCTGGATCTATCAGTTTCTGAGATTGGTGTGCTAAAATCTTCAACTACCGCTGTAGATTAATCTCTCTCTTCCTACAGTCTTATCAGTTGTTGCTTTTGTTACTGAGCAATGGGCTTGCTCTGCTCGCAGTGATCTGAGCCAATCACTCACAATGAGTTAAGGATCGAGAAAGGAAGCTTTAATTTGATTAACCAGCATAATCAGGAAGATGGCAGACTAATGTCTAAAAAAAACATCTTCTAGGATTATAGAATCTTGAGGTAGTTATATAGGGAAAGTGGGGAGTAAGGAGGGGGTTTAGAAACGTCAGCTTTCAGGCATGATGGGCTCTAGGGTCTTTCATTGTTCTTTTCTTCTGTCAGTGATGATGGATATCTTATAGGTGTGTTTCCCACCTGTAGTCAGCCTGTTCCTAGAGAGAAACTCATAGAACAAAGTTTTAATTTATCAAGTTATAGGGGAGTACGTATGTAAGTGGAGGCCATAAATCAGGAGAGCACGTGAATTTTTTTAGAGTACATGCAGAGCGGTGAGTAGTCACACAGAGGAGGGGCTGGGGTCATTTAGCGTAACAAGGTGTACTTACTAATGTTTACTTACACTTTGTGCATTCTGTACATTGTAAGGTGCATATATGTTCATGATGATGCCATCTTCTTGCTCTGTTTTTTCTTTTATTAATGTATCTTTTCCCTTATGACATTATTTGTATTGAATTCTATTTCATCAGCTATTAGAATTATTACTAAAGCTTTCTATTAATTCATTTATTTTCAATTCTATATATACTTCCCATCTAGTTATTATATATTTATATTAATCATATGTATGTTTGTGAAATTCATAAAAAATGATTATTTAAAAACTAGATGGATATAAAAAACAAATTAGAAATTTCTGGAATGGAATTTTCAATAGTTGGTATAAACTCTAGATTGCAGACAGTCAAAGAGAAAATCAGTGAGGTAGAAGATAATATGTAATATAGCAGAGAGAGACAAAGAGATAAAAATATAAAAGGGCAATTAAAGGACGTAGAGGATGAATTGAGAGGAGTGAGTGTGAAGTCCTTAAGACCAAAATAGAAGGATTGATGGGAAAGGATTATTTGAAGAGACCGTGACTTGCACAGGGACAGGAGATGAGTTTGCTAGAGAAGTTGTAACTGACATCCCTGCATAAAGCAAGAATTTTGAAGATCTTTATCCTCCTCAAGGAATGGTTGGCTTACGGCACAGGGAGATGAACAGTAAACTAATCTGTCTTAGCTCGGGCTCTGAGTTAGAGAAAAGAAAAGACTTTTTGAGAATTCATAACCATGGGCCTGCCCTCACACAGGTTGGCCCAAGAACCCAGAAGTCAAGAAATTATTATACAAATTGTTCCAGGCTAGTAACGCCCTGCAGCACCCAGCAGAAGAAAACACAAAAGACCTCTCTGGAGTGACATACCCTCAACAAGGCTGCACAGGATTCCTACAGCTAAAGCTTCACAGATGAACTCACAACCCAAAATCATAAAATATGTGAGTAACAACCTACTATGAGAAAATATTTACAAAAATTGGCATTAGACCCTCAATTATTTCATATAATTAAAATGATTAGAGAAAAAAATAATTAAAAACAAGAGAAAAGAACATCAAGAAAGATCAGGCAGATATGAAAAAGAACCAAGTCCAACTTTTAGAAATAAAAGTTGGCAGAGATTGGCTTAACAGAGACTAAACAGAGCTGAAGAAAGAATTAGTGACTTGGAAGACAGATCTGAGGAAATTACAGAGCGTTCAGTAGAGAAAAATAAAGACACAAAAATATGAAATTAAGAGATATGGAGACAATCTTCCTATGCAAAAAAATTCCAAATAATTTATGTAGACATTACTCCCTCAAGGAGATAGAGATAACTCCCCATCCCTTTAGTGTGGGCTGTACTTAGTGACTTCTTCCAAGGAGTATAGTATGGAAAGGAAGAGAAAAAGTTACTTTACAGTGGAGCAACTTGACCTCAATCTCTGATTAATATTAACATCAACAGGAAGAAGTCCTTTTGGCATATACCCTTGATGTGATATGATGAGAATGGCACTTTATACATTTGTGATCTTCCTCCCAAACACTCATAACCTCATCTAATCACGAGAAAAACAAGAGACAAACCCCAAATGAGGAACATTCTACAAAATACTGGAGCAGTACTCCTAAAAACTGTGAAGGTCATCAAAAAAAGGAATTATAAGATAGTGCTTAAGGAACTACTCAACACAACCTAATCTATTCTGATCCTAGAGTGCCAAGGTGGGGGTGGGGGGGCCCATCCTGGGTGGAAGGGGTACACTATCTGTGGAGAATTTAACAACAATAATAAAGCTGACTAAATGTTGGTTTGCTTTTTATTATCACATGCACTGGCAATTCTAAACAGGGTTGGTAATAAAATATTCTTTCCTCTTGGACCAAACTACTCCACAGCCACCCTCCCCCTTCCGCCCCAATGCCACAGATCTTGACTAATATAATCGATAAATTAAATAAGTATTGACTGATTTAAAAATAAGCATGTTTCTTTTTTTCTAAAAGGTGAAATAAAATCTTTAAATAACAACAGGGAAGAAGAGGAAGCATTCAGTAAATTGTGCCAAGATCCTTGTCTCCTTTAGGGAGAGAACAGACTGTAACGAGAAATTAAAAAGTGACAACAATTGGAGTGTGAAAGTTTTAATGTGATATAATATCTACTAGTTATATTTGCTGATTTCATTTAACGTGTTTTGCTGATCCTTTATACTGTTAACCTACCTTTAAATAAATGGGCCTGTATTTGACTTACTTGTTTTTCTTCCTCTAATAACTATCATTGCCTGTCTTAGAACTTCCTACTGTCCTTTGTCATTAGTCACTGAGGGACCTAAAAAAATGTTGCAGTTCAGGTACATCCACATTATTATGTTGGTAGAGACTTGTTTAGCTCGACTTGATGATCACAGAGCCAGGCCCTAACAGAAAGTACCAGCAATTTCCCACACTGAATCTTAACATAATTTTACACATGGCTTCCTACCTGTTTGGGGTTGGGGCGAGTGGAAGACTGGAGAGCTCGCTGAGCATCACTGCCTTCCAGTCTCTTACACATGGCTCAGATGGTTGAGAAAACATCTTTGAATAGAAAATGTCTTCTTCCTTATTTTTGAGGGAGGCAGGAGGGATGGTGCATGATTCAAGTTATGATTTTGCACGTCAGGCCATTTCTAACTTTAAGAAAACCCAGTATCCAAAAATCCAAAGTTTTAAAAGTTAACTAGGTAGCAGTCACACCCAAAGATGCCTGAATGTACAAAAGGCTTCATCAGAGGTTTTCTTTTAAATAGCCATCTATTCCTTTGCACTTTCCTCAATGTGTTTCAGAAAGCTATTTACAAATTTCAGGGGTCTATCTATGTTATAATCGTGGTTTTTAAAAAGTAATAACTCCGATGATAAAAATCGTTTCTAGAAAAATTGGAAAATACAAATATTGTAAATATAAAATTCATCTGTAATCCCAGCGTTAACATTGTCACCATTCTGCTATACTTCTTCGCAGTTTTAAAAAACACCTCATGGATATATGATGTGTGTACTATCTTTTTACAGGCCGTATTTGAACTCCTTGGGTTACACGGCGTGGGCGTGGCCATCCGAGGCCGCCTCTCCGCGCGGAGGCGTGTCAGCTGTCAGCAGCTGCTGTCGATCCTTCTGCCCCTGACCCAACTGCTGGGCTACAGCAGGCGCCGGGGACACTGCTTCCTTTCTTCCTTCTGCTCCACCTCCCTAACTTTCCATTTCCAGCCGCACGTAGTCTCAGGCATCTAGCTAGCTCCAGCCCTCCCGCCTTAGGCTGCAAAACGAAAAATCCCCTAAAAGCGGCAGTCACGTCGCGGGGAGGAAGGCGGCCAACGCTCCTTCTGGAATCGGGAGGCGGAGGCCCCCAGCTGCGCCGCGCGGCGCGCGCTCCCGCGTGGGCGCGGCCCACCCTCGCTCTCCTCGGGCGCGGCGCGGCCGCGAGCCCCGGGCGCCATTTTGGACTCGGTGTGCGGGCTGAGGCGCAGGGGGCCTACGCGGTGGCCGCGGCTTCGTGAAGGAGCCCCCTGCGACGACGAGGGGTCCCGGGAGAAGGACGCAGGGACTGAGAAGGAAGCTTCCGCCTGGGCAGCCAGAGCCGCAGAGGTGGAGCCGCGTTGGCGCCCGCCCCGGGACCAGCGCCTCGGATGCGGGCGGAGCGCGGGGGGCCGCGGCGGCGCGAGCGCGACGCGGGGGGCCCCGGGGGTCTCATGTGAGAGCCGCGGGAGCAGCTGCCGCCGCCGTCCCCGGAGCCCGGGGCGGTGTGTGGGGGAAGCCGCCCCCGGCAGCAGGTAACGGCAGAGGGGCCGGGCCGGGGAGGGTCTGCCACCGTCGTGGGCAGCAGGGCGGGCCGGGGTCCTGGGGGCGCAGGGGCCGGGCTCGTGCGGGCCGCCCCTCGGGAGCGGCGGGCGGGGCGCGGCGCCGGGCCTTGGAGCTGGCCTGGGGGGGTTTCCCCGCCGTGCCTGCTTCAGAACATGTCAACAAGGCGTGGGGCCGTGCGGCGACCGCGTGCCGCCGCCCGCGACACCGCCGCGCCCGGAGCCCGGCGTGTCAGCCTCGGCAGGGGCTGCTGACGGGCACCGCGGAGCTCGCGCTCTCCGGGCTCTTCCCCGCGTCGTCTGCGCCCGCGCTTCTAGCTTGAGAAGTGAGGGGCGTCAAGATGTCAAAACAGCCTGGCCAGGGTAGGGCGCCGGAGAAATGTCAGGGAAAGCCAGTCCGTGGAGGTGGCGCAGGGAGGAGGGGCCGCCCCGGCCGCGTAGGCGAGTGGAAAACTTGGTCAACTTGTGATGGGCAGCTTCGCGCCTGCTTTTGGCATGAGCGGCCGCCTCAGGTGGGGTTGCAGACGAGATCAGGCAGCAGCCTATTAAATGATTGGCTTGCATCTCCCAGCTGAGAGGGGACATTACTATTATTTTGCTGCTGCTGATGTCCAATCGAATGGCCCAGATCTTTTCATTAGAGTCTTTTTCCTATTATCCCTGAAATATTTCTGAAAATGCCATCGACTCCCAGTTATCTACAAATGACCAGTAGACAGAGTTTCACCATCACACTCTCCCTACCGTCTAGTTCTGAGAGTTAATCTCTTTCCACTGTTTTATTCTTGTATTCCAGCCAAAGAATGCATTTCAATTTTGATATTAGTCAATGCAGAGCATAAATGGAAAGGAAATGTGATGCCAAAACAGGCTTTTGAGAGCTAAGTGCAAATGGGCTTTTAAAATTACTACATACTACAGTGTACTAAAAGTGCCTAACACAATGAGGGACACACAACTAAGTGTTCTCTTCCGCTCTTCATCTGATGAGCAAGTTGACCGCGCCTTTCAGAGTGTATGGAAATGTTCAGAGTTTGTTCTGTAGTCTCTGCTCATTAATTTGCTTTTTGGCGCTTTGTAGTAATATCAGTTCTTCACCAAATGCTCTCTTGCGTCAATTACGTATATGGGGCCCAGAAAAGTTGCAGTTTAAATTAAACTGTGGGAGCCCTGAAGGGGCCTGGTTTTGGTGCTTTAAAATCCTATTGACGTTTGGTGTCCAGCTTTCTTCTCTGCACTCCTCCTGTTCAAATCTAAGAGGTGTTTTCTCTTTGACTTAATGTAAGAGATAAATAGTCCATTCTTTGCAGAATGGTGGATGCTCTGAATTATTTAATTTTCTGTACAGCAGAGCTTCATGTGTAAATATACACGATAAAATATTTTTGAAAGCAGTGTAACTTTTTGCATGAATAAATGAAATCATCTTGGAAAAAATTGACATTTAAAAATTTTATCAGGTGCCCACTTTCTGTTATTTTCATACATACGTGAGGATAATATAGAGATCATTTTTATTGGCATTTGGCCTTACATTTTTTTCTATTGCTTAATATACTATAATTCTGACATATTACAGTCATATTACATATGATAATTTACAGACTTTTGTTCAGCTATTCATAAACTAGTAAGTGCTTAAAATATACTTTGGCGATCGTATAGTCTTATATCTAGACCAAGAGATAGTATTCCTCAGTGTTGCATATTTCTTTTTAATATGTTCACTTGTTTCTCCTCTCAACTTGGAAAAGTATTGAAATATACTTTATTTAAAACAGGGTTGTAATAGACAAAAGAAAGTATCTATTGTTAGGATCAGCAAAGATAATTCTGTGAATAAGATTGTCATTTTATTTTGTTTATATGTCCATATACTCCAAAGTAAAATGAATCATTCCGTCTTTAAGTTGAATAGTTCTGGTTTTAGAAGACAATCAGCAGAAACAGGCAATCAGCCTTCTATAATAAGGAGTAGAAATTATAAAGATGGCTTCATTCTTTTTTGAATCTCTGTATCTCAAAATTCTGAGTAGTTTTAGATAATCAGAAGAGAAATTATAAGCCCTGGGTAGCAAACTCTTTGTTCTTTGACCCAAATTTTATATGCTAAAATTAAAGTAAGCCTTCAGAATAAGTTAAAGCAGAAAAATGGGTCATAATGACAGTGTTATCTCAACCTCTAGTGGGACGTTATTACTAGGAGAGATTTCTTTTTTTATATGGAAGACTGTGTTGTAGATTGTACTACCTTTTCTCTAAACACATTTTAAAAAATATATTCTTAGATTCACATGTAAGTTTTAGTCTTCCATAAAACTACCCTCTTGCTGTCACTTCTTCATTCTGTTTTCTCCCTTCCTCTCCCAATAGGATGTACATCATTTACTTCACTTAACTCACATAGTTGGAAGTAGGAGCAATGAGGAATAGGCAGTTTATTGCACATGTACTAAAACCTCCTGGGCTGATTTTAACGGCATGAAGGCCAAGGGCCTCTGCCATTCTATTTCCCTGCAGCCACCAATCCTCTTTCACAAGTTTTGCTAGCTACTGGAAAGAGAGAGTCTGCAGAGACATATCTGGTTGAGTCGTGCATGTGCACATCCTTTGTCTCACACACAAATCAGAAATTGTTATATGCTAATGTGCCAGAAGAAGGGAGTTGGAGCCACAAGCCATCGTTTTCAAAAGCTATGACTCCAAATCCAAACCACTGCCCTGCCGGAACTGCTCTCTAGAGACAAAAGAAAAGTACTGCAGGCTCTAAACTAAATAGGAGTGCTAGTGAGTGGTCTGCAGTTACCCCACTTAGTTTAGAGCCTGCACTACTTATTTTTCCAAATAACAAATCAAACCCCACCTTTTTATCTGATTATAATGTAATTCATTGACATTAAAAGAAACCTGTAAAATATAGAGAAGCATATTGGCAAAAAAAACAAAAAAATTCACCTGTAATCCCACCACTATTATGATCTCACTGTTAGGAATATAATATAATGCCACTCACTATTATAGTTACCATATTAATGTGGTAAATTTACTTTCAATGTTTGTTTCTCATACATGAGCGTGTGTTCTCGCTCGTTCTCACGCACTCACTCTCTCACACACACACTTCATTTTAAAACAAAAATAGGATCATTCTTTGCCTCTTGGTTGGTAACCTCTGTTTTTACTGTGTTGTGCACTTTAACGTCTTTAACATTGGACTGCTTTCCTATACCTGAATTCAACAATCATGTATCTCCTTTCAAAAGCCCTAATATTATTTAATTTCTTGCATGAACCCTATGTGTTATTATCCCTGTTATACAAACTGAAGCCCAGGAAGGTCCAGTAATTTGTTCAAGGCCACATAACCAGTGAGAGGTAGAGCCAGGCTTCAGACTCAGGGAGCTTGATTCCAGAGCCTATTCTCTTTAACCATACTACTGTTTTTGCAACAAAACGACTATTTTCAAAGAAACAAATGGAGTGAAGATAGCACAAATACATAGAATAGAAACATACCTATCATTCAGAAATAGAACTTTGGGAAAACATTGCAACAGCAAGAGATGTGTTGGAAGAAGAAACCACATTTCAGACCAAACAATGCTTATTTTTAAGCAGAGGTTGGGTCTGGCAGTAACACATATCACAGGCTGTTGAATGTAGAAAGATCTGTCAGCTACTTAATTCAGATCCTCTCTGGAGGTTCCTGGGACTCTGGTCTGCCTTCAGTTCAGGAACTCAAATACATATAGCAGGTATGGTTAGATGACTCTTAAGAAACCTTTAAAAAGTGTCACTGTAGATTCTCTTTTATATTCGTTTTAGTTAGTTGACTACAACTTTTGAAATATAAATTCTTTGTTTTGTTTCAAAATCATGATAAACTTTTCCCCCAAGTAGTACAGTATAAATACAAATGTTTAAAAACACTTGTATAGAATTTATAAAACAACGATTGGTCTCCAGTGGCATTTTTCATTATATTTTGTTTTGATATTTTTCTTGAATAATTGGTCCAGTTCTTCCTGCACATTTGCATTTGTATTTATAAACACATATATACACATCTCAGTGACAGAAGAATGAATTTTGAATTTATTTCTATTCAAAAATTATGAAAAAATTGCCTTTTTCTGAATAGGATGAAACGAGGAGGAAGAGATCATAATTCATCAGAAGAAGGGACTACAGAGAAATCCAAGAAACTGAGGACTACAAATGAGCATTCTCAGACTTGTGATTGGGGTAATCTCCTTCAAGACATTATTCTTCAAGTATTTAAGTATTTGCCTCTTCTTGACCGGGCTCATGCTTCACAAGTTTGCCGCAACTGGAACCAGGTATTTCACATGCCTGACTTGTGGAGATGTTTTGAATTTGAACTGAATCAGCCAGCTACATCTTATTTGAAAGCTACACATCCAGAGCTGATCAAACAGATTATTAAAAGACATTCAAACCATCTACAATATGTCAGCTTCAAGGTAATACTTTAAATCCTTCTTTTAAACAATAAAGCATATTTAGTGGCTCTTGTGTCCTAAGCCAGTACATCTTCTCATGTCTTTAAAATAATGCTTTTTTTTTTTTTTTTTTTTTTGGGTGAGGAAGATTAACCCTGAGCTAACATCCATGCCAATCTTCCTCTGTTTTGTATGTGGGTCGCTGCCACAGCATGGCTGATGAGTGGTGTAGGTCTGCATCCAGGATCCAAACCTGTGAACCCAGGCTGCTGAAGCGGAGCATGCCAAACATAACCACTACACCATGGGGCCAGCCCCTACAATAATGCTTTTTTAGAGGAAGTGCTTAAAGACTTAGAATTATCATATACCTTAGAAGCTGTCACAAATGATTATATTTGATCTAAATTACTCTATTTTATTATAATTATTAATAATTTCTTAGAAGAACAGAAGCAACCACTAAATAAGCATAAATCGTTGACCAGAGCTATCAGTCACATTGAATTATTGTGAACAGATTTGAGGAAAAAGAAATATACAATAAAATAAATTAAAAATGTGGAGATTTTGATTGCTATCTCTAATAGGGACGGAGTTTTGCTTATTGATGGCTTTATGATACGAGATTTTCAAAGAAAAAGGAGATATAGAAACGATGTAAAAAGTTTAGGTGAATATATTTTAGAGAGAAATAGAAAAAGGTACATGGAGAATGCCAAAGAGAACTGTTTGTTTCTTTCCATTGCTAGAAAGGATGTATTGGAAATCATGCAATGATGACATAAGTCAAGTGGGGTGGCTTTTTGAGATGTCCGGAAGAGTTTAAGGAATCACGGTGGTTTGTATAAGTACAGAGGCTGGTAATGTTTGCGGGATGAATAATGGAATGTGGAAATGTTTACTAAATCCTTAACACACTTGATAATTATTGTTGAAAAGTAATGCATGAATATCTGATTTTCCTATATGTAGCAGTTGTTAAACAGATCAAGTTAAACCTAGATAAAACAATGGTTCTTAACCCAGAGTTCTTTGCCAAAACTAGTCTTTTCTGCTCCCAAGAGTACATTCCTTCTTAGATGGAGATTACCTGTTCTCCCATATGTGTGTCTGAGCAGGAGGAGAGACCTGGTGATGGGAATGGTTGGGTGTATTATGGCCTTCTTCCCAGCAAAATGCACAAAGGCACTTAAGCCACTGGGAGTAGGATTGCTAGGTTTAGCAAAGAAAAATAGAGGATACCAAGTTAAATTTGAATTTCAGATAATCAATGAATAATTTTTAGTATAAGTGTGTCCCATGTATTATTTGGGATATACTTAATTCTTATTTAATTGTATGTCCTCTATGTTATCTGGCAACTCTAACTTGCAGCAAGGGTCGGGGAATGAGGGGAGGATCCAAACAAACAAAAATCCAGGAACTTCTCATGTGTTGCCCCTCCCCCAACTCCCTGTGAAGAAAACTGAAGAGCCTTCCCTTTGGTTTCAGTCATCTTTGAGTTGTCTGAGAGTGTTCTAATGGTAAATTCTATAAAAAGATGTCTAATATGTTAATCTCGTAGGTGTAAAGACAATTCCATACAGTGGATTGGCTGGGTCACTGTTGTTCTTTTACAGCCCTGTGACACTATTCAGCTGTATCCAACTTGTATAACCCTCATAAAACCATTTGTCCTGTAAGTTTAAACATTTTTATTAGGAACTGTTTATTTTCCTGAGGAGGTAATTTCTGATTTGCAAAAAGAGCGACATCACAGGACTCTTCTGGGCCCTCCTGTTAGTATTTGTGTTTAATTCATCGCTGACTGTATGCCAAAGAGGCTTATAGTCAAAGTTATTAGTGTAGAACAGTGATTCTCAAACTATATATGAATCTGAAACACTTGAGTGCTTGTTGAGCCAAAGATTGCTGGGTCCCACCCCTAGAGTTTCTGATTCAGATGGTCTGGGTTGGGCATGAGAATTTGCATTTCTAACGAATGCCCAGGTGATGTTGATGCTGCTGGCCCAGGGACCACACTTTGAGAACCACTGGTTTAGAGAAACTTAGCCAAAAGATAATATTATAAACAGCTCTGAAACTGTAATAGAAAGCATATATCATTTTTACAACCAGCTCTTCAGAACATTTTTGGGTTAAGGTAATGTACATCAATCTGGAAATTAAAGTAATGATACTACCTTTAAATGTTCTATTTTAAGATGGTTTTTAGCCTAGGGAACAGCTTGCTTTTTGATAGTGCTGCTTATATCCTTGAGGAGTTTTTTGGCCTTACCCCAAGATATGTCTATGCAGAAGAGTGTGTAAGATATGTCTATGCAGAAGAGTGTGTAAGATATGTCTATGCAGAAGAGTGTGTAAGATATGTCTATG